GGTCCTTCTATGCTTGTACTTAAATTACGCCGATTACATGTGCAGTATCAGAGTCACGATGATGATAAATCAGAATTCCTGAAATTACTCATCAATAGTGACGAAAAGTTCTCGTTTCTTTAAACGTGTGTTCTAAACGGGAAAAATCCCCGAAATTACCGTATCTGCGTAAAAAGCTGCCGAACAATGAACTTTACTGAGAAAGCAAGCCGTTTGAGACTCATTCTCTCACAAAGAAATATCTTGGTTCCTCTTAGGGTTTGTTTTCAAAATTCCCAACAGTTATCCGCGTCCTTTTTATATAGGAGCCTCCCCCCCCCCCGGGCATTGTAGAGCATTAGGAGCCCATGATAGCACAAGTAAAGCTTTGAGAACAGAGTTTAATCCCAACGATTATTTGTATCACTAGGAAACAATCACTTTTTTGTTAAGAGTGATCAATACTGGAAACTGAGAGCTTATGAGAAGAAAAGGACAACGTCATGCCTGAAAACGGACCATTCTAATTTGATATCGAACTCACTTGTGTTCCGATATACTCGAACAGTTGCTGATTATAGTTTGCTAATTTCTAAAAAGAGGCTCAGTTCAGTTCAGAACCAAAAGTTAGGCCAGCTTTACTTCCGGGTGTTCAGATTCTTAGACAAACAACTAAACTTACCTCTCTGATAATAATAAGGTACCCACCCCTCCTGACTAATACAAATAAATATATAGAATTACATACTTAATTTGTAACTCCCTAAGAGGACTTTTCAGTCACAAAGGTAGCTCACGTTAATATTATGTAGCTTTGGAATATTGCCTCTTTGAAAGAGGTTATTTAAGACTTCAAATAAGGCCCTCTTCACTCCCCTGGCCCATTACGTCCAGGAAAAAAAAACAACAANAATAATAAGGTACCCACCCCTCCTGACTAATACAAATAAATATATAGAATTACATACTTAATTTGTAACTCCCTAAGAGGACTTTTCAGTCACAAAGGTAGCTCACGTTAATATTATGTAACTTTGGAATATTGCTTCTTTGAAAGAGATTATTTAAGACTTCAAATAAGGCCCTCTTCACTCCTCTGGCCCATTACGTCCAGGAAAAAAAAAAAAACATGTTTTAAGCATACGAGAGCCAGTCTAAGGCTGAATATGGCTATCACAATAGAAACGGTCGATCAACTTAAACATTAGTTCCGCGCCGGTTATCTGGAAAATTATCGATGAGATAGTTTATAGCATCAGAGCAAAATTAGGTGGAACACGTTCGCTAGTTGATCAATAAAGAGAAAAGTAGGGGCTTTTCTTTAAATAAACGTACTATTTGAAGCAATTTTAGTGATTGCTACGCAGCTCTAATGGCAGCAGTTCCATGTCGATTCTTGGAAACGACGTGAATTCTTGGAACTTTTAAGATCGGGGATTCCCCACATCAGATGTTATGAAGGAGACGTTTGATTGGTTTGAGAAGACGGTGCGAGAATCATATAACGCCTGCTTCCTAGAGTATTGAGTCATCCCTTCGTTTAGTCTACTAGCAAAAGCACTGCAGGTTTCTTTTGTAAGTTTTGTCTTACGTTTGCAATATGGATGAAGATTGCAATAATATGCTCGATTTATATCT